GATTTAATCCCGAAATAGCTCTTAGCTCTTGAAGTGCGAAATCTATACGAAATAGATTAAAGAATTTCAGCCAATGAATTTCTAATTCCGGTAACACTATCAAATTTAAATTTTTATTGGTTTAAAAAAATAAATTCGGTTCGGTTTCGGTTTGTATGCAAGAAATTCGGTTCGGTTTCGAACCGAACCGTTAGGAGCTTTAAAATATATCATCATCATTACCATCAACTTTTGAAATACTAATTAAAAGTTTGGAAATATGAAAAATTTTGACAAATTAAAATTATGCATCGAGGAAATGAAATATTTAAATATTCAATCAAATTTAATTGAAGTTTTTGAAAAAATCCATTATGGAATGATCTATCACCAGAATCAAAAATAACAGTTGAAACTTGGACAATTTTTAATTAAATCATTAATTTTATCTAATAGAATAGAATTAGCATTAGAATTTATGAATCAAGGAAAATTAAAATTTGCTGATGATGTGTTGATAAATGGGATGATTTTAAAGTGTTGGAAAATATTTGGAATAGTTTGGAATCACATTTAGATATTGATCAAAATTTAATTGATAATTTTAAAGATTTTTAGATTCTGTTTAAGAATCATCATCACACCATCATCAATATAATTTATAATTTTTCAATAAATAGATGTGGAAAAACTTTCTGATCAAAAGAGTAAATTTTTTTGTCTTTCTCTCGCGTACTTATATAAATATATAAAAAACATGTATTTTCAAACATCTTTAAAAAAATTGATAATAAACTGTCTCTTTATCATTAAATAGTAAAAAAGTATTTTTAACCACTATCACCGCCGATTAACTTATTTATCACTATCATCACTGTATTGTTATCGTAATTATTGTGATGTCTTAAATTCAAGTTTTTTAATTTGCCTAAGATTAAGTGATTTGCGGCATATAGAACACATTTTTTGTGCTCTAACCGCAGTAACTATACATTCATAGCAAAAAATATGACCACAGCTAGTTGCTGACACGTCTTTAGGATAATCCAAACATATAGTACATTTTATTTGTAATGACTCTGTGTCTCCTTCAACAGCAACAACACTTGCATTCGTATTATTATCTTTTTCGTCATCTTCGTCATCATCAATTATTATAATTTCTGGTTGTAGTATAGGCTGCTGTATTTGCGGTGGTGAATATAAAAAACAGTAAAGTGGTGATTCACGTGATATTATAGGAGTTGTAATATCTATAACGTCATCGTCATTGTTGTTGTTGTCGTAGTTGTTGTTACCATTATCATCATCGTCGTCATCGTCAATGACTATAATATTACTAGAATGATCAATATCTTGTACATGATTAATATCATGATCATCATTATTTATATTTTCAACAAACTGATTATTGTCTTCAGATAAATCAATTTCATGAACAACATTGTTATTGTCATTTTGTATAATATTAATCTGATAATTATCATCGGCCCATGAAACAAGAATTCCCTCACCACCGTGATCATTATTACCATTCTGTATAATATTAATATGATCATTGTTATCATCAACCCGCGAAGCATTAATACCTTCAATCCCATCATCATTATTATCAACAAAACTTGTGACATCAATCACAACCACTTCAAGATTATCGACATTGTTTTCTAAAGCGTTACTAATCCTGTCATCATTATAATTGTTATCGTCAACATGACCGACATTATTATAATCCATAACATCAGTTCCACCAGCATCCTCTGAAACAACAGCCTCATTATTATTATCGATATTCTCTACAACATCAACATCATCAGTGGAAGAGAATGAGGAGGAAGAGGAGGAATAAGTTGCCGATAATGGTGTCAGTGGTATAATTGCTGGTAATGGCGGTGTAAATGTTTGTACGAGTATTTGTGTTGATAGTGGTGAAGGAGATGACAAGTCGATTATTTCTACATCATTATATTGCGAAGATGGTGGAGTATTAGGACAATATTCAAATCTGCTGCTATTATTATTATCATCATTATCATCATTATTACTATTATTGTTGTTGTTGTTATTATTATTATTACTGCTGCTACCACTAGTATTACTAGTACTATTGATAGTGTTGTTTATAATATTATTGAATAAACCGGAATGAAGTAAATTATGGCTAGAATCCTGCATACATATATTGTAGGTAATAAATTAGCTCATTAATAATATGTTATTATATTAAAACATAATTGTATCTGTGAAATAGTTTTTTTTTATTGAATGTAATGCATTTATGACATTATTACATACATACATACATACATACATACATACATACATACATACATACATAATATAATAAGTAAATGGTTCCAAAAGAACATATGCTATTTTTTCTTTACTGTCTTAAGATTTTAAATTTTATTTGATCTTTAATTTTTTGATCGATCGCGTGAATAAATGGAGTAATCACTTACTTTGAAATTCTTGCTGTTCATTTTAGTAAATAATAAACTTTTTTAATTAAAAAAGTATATATCTTTTTTTTATAAAAATTGCCTCGTTTTACTTTTATTAAAAGATGTTTATTTTGGAAGAAAAGGAAAAAATAGTGGTTTTTTGGAGCGAGGTGTGTCACCATTCACTATTAATACACAAATATGCATGTGTCCTTTCTTCTCAACAGCCATCACCAAAAAATGTGATTTCATTTTTTGTAACTAATATTGAAGCTTCCCACACAATCCCTATTTCTTTGAAACCTGTATGCTTACAATATTTTAAGCGTGTTTATTATACAATTGCATATTTTAACTCTACACAATTATGTCCAAAAGTAAGTTAGTTGCCCCTACACTTATTTCTCATGGCCTTATTATTCCTGAATTACATTTCGGACCTTTTTCACGAAATTGGTGGTTGGAAATAACTACTGAAATTGAAGAATTCTTTCCTATACGTGTAGGAATGTCAATAGTAACAGAATTAAATGGTCGAAACTTTACTGTACGTGTTTTTAAAGGTAGCCAAGGTCAGCCAAGATATGTTTGTGAATCAGGTGAGTATGTTAGTAGAGAAGAGGACTTTATAAGTAGTGCACTTAATCCTTTATATCAGGAAATTTTTAAAAACAAAACCAAATTTTCTGGAGTGCATGAATTTGGTCTAGATAATTCTTTATTATTAGAGAAACTTTTAGATGGTGTATTGTTTAGACCATTTTCAGTAATGGTAGAAACAATTAAAATATTTGTATATGGATTAGGAGTATCCAATAGTGAAATTTTACATGGAGCAGGCACTGGCTACAAATCATCATTTATCTATATGTATCAAAGGAAAAGATGTTTTTTTGTCCAAAAAATAAGGAAACCAATTTGTAGCATTGGAATTTTTTGCAATACAGAAATTATTGCACAATTTGAAGGAAAAACACCTGATGAAGTGTGGGCCAAAACAAACTTATTAAAAAAATTTAGTGGTGATGAACTTTTCGGTCTAAAGGATCCTATTACTCAAAAAAAATTGACAGATCATCAAAAACTTACCTGTACATCTAAGGATTGGAATAATTTAAATATCATGGAACCTTTGTACTTATATCATTTAAAGTCACGTACATTAGCTGATGTCGATTGGTACAAATTGTTTAAAAATTGGTCTCTTCAAAGCAGCAATATTATTGAGATTCGATCAGAACTTTCCTGTATATATCCTTCTGATTATATTTTTAATGACAGGGAGTATTGTGCTTGGTGTTCATTAATAAAAGCTGCAGGTGGCATAAATATAACACCATTTAATAAAAAGGAATCACTGGTATTGCATTTTATAAAAATCAATCATTTTAAGAATTTATATATTAATATTAACATCAGTACCTTTATTTATAATTTTTAGTGTGAATTTTGGACAAGAAATCCTAATCCTTCATATGATAAGGAAACATTATTTATGCTTTATGATAAAGGATTCCTTTCTCCTACTCCATCTCCAAGTGAAAGATAATTCTTTATTATTAGAGAAACTTTTAGATGGTGTATTGTTTAGACCATTTTCAGTAATGGTAGAAACAATTAAAATATTTGTATATGGATTAGGAGTATCCAATAGTGAAATTTTACATGGAGCAGGCACTGGCTACAAATCATCATTTATCTATATGTATCAAAGGAAAAGATGTTTTTTTGTCCAAAAAATAAGGAAATCAATTTGTAGCATTGAAATTTTTTGCAATACAGAAATTATTGCACAATTTGAAGGAAAAACACCTGATGAAGTGTGGGCCAAAACAAACTTATTAAAAAAATTTAGTGGTGATGAACTTTTCGGTCTAAAGGATCCTATTACTCAAAAAAAATTGACAGATCATCAAAAACTTACCTGTACATCTAAGTATTGGAATAATTTAAATATCATGGAACCTTTGTACTTATATCATTTAAAGTCACGTACATTAGCTGATGTCAATTGGTACAAATTGTTTAAAAATTGGTCTCTTCAAAGCAGCAATATTATTGAGATTCGATCAGAACTTTCCTGTATATATCCTTCTGATTATATTTTTAATGACAGGGAGTATCGTGCTTGGCGTTCATTAATAAAAGCTGCAGGTGGCACAAATATAACACCATTTAATAAAAAGGAATCACTGGTATTGCATTTTATAAAAATCAATCATTTTAAGAATTTATATATTAATATTAACATCAGTACCTTTATTTATAATTTTTAGTGTGAATTTTGGACAAGAAATCCTAATCCTTCATATGATAAGGAAACATTATTTATGCTTTATGATAAAGGATTCCTTTCTCCTACTCCATCTCCAAGTGAACCAATATGTGACCTAGAAACATGTAACAATGCTCAACGGTTTGCTAAAAGTATTTCTGATGCCATAGATGCAAACAAAAAAGGATTAGAAGGAAAACGTAGAATACTATCAATTGTGGCAGATAATTTTACTTTAGAAGAACTTAGGAAATCAAATGTAAATTTTTGATTTTAAAAAATATGTAAAATATTAAAATACCTTTTCTTTTTAGATAAATGTAGCAAAGCATACATTATGTGAAGCAAGAAAATTTGTGAGATTAAATGGTCCAGGATGCCCTCCTATTGAAAAACCACAAATACATCAAAACCGCTTTTCGGAAGAAGCAAAAAAACAATTTGAGAAGTTCTTTTCAGACAAATCAATTGTAAATATGAGTTCTTACAAGGTTGATCGTGAATTGAACCTTCCAGTGCTATATCTTAAGGATACAAAAAAAGCGCTTTGGGATAAGTATTCTGTAACATATCCAAATGGAATCAAGCAATCTTCTTTCATGACACAATTAAAAAGTCAGAGGTTTCAGTATAGAGAAGACCTTGGAGGACTATGTTCAACCTGTTGCTATTATGGTTACAATGTTTTTGAAGATCTAATACATTTAGTTTCAAATAATCTTGATGGAGAGTTAAAGGTAGATTGAATATATTTTTAAATTTATAATCATTTATAAAAAATTAAACTTACATGAATATTTTGCAAGACCAATTTTATTAATAGAATTGAATTACTACAAAGACATATGAAGCTAAATTATGAAAAAGAAATTAAAATTGAAAAGGATGGCCAGCCTCATCATGACCCTTGTATTTCACATTGTCTTGCATATGCTTTTGGTATCTGTAAAGAAAAGCATATTAATACTTGTCAAAACTGTGATGAATTCTGGATCTTATTCAAAAATCTACAAAATGTTATTGGCAAAACATCTATTGATATGTTGGATGATGCCCAGGAAAAACTTTGTTATTATCTTAGCCATCAAACAAGGAAAGTATATTTGAATTCTCAATTTTCTTTTATACTCAGAGAGCTTGATTGCGAAGGTACAGTTTTAGTGGTAGATTATAAAATGCGTGTTCTTCCAAAATCTGCTCGTGAAACCAAGGACCAATTTTTTGGTAAAAAAGGATGGACTTTGCACAGTACATTATTATATACTAAAAAGCAAAATGATGAATTAGATGTTAGTGCATTTGATCATTGGTCCAATGACACACGACAAGATGCTTGGTTTACAGCATCTTCACTTCATGCTGTTCTTACCTCAATTGAAAATAAACCTAAATGGGTATCCATAATATCAGATAATGGCGGTCATTATCACAACTCTGAACTGATGGTAATTTTGAACTACTGGTATGAATGGTATGGTATTGAGGTTAGAAGTTGGACATTCTTAGAGCCAGGAGAGGCTAAAACTGCCATTGATTCTCACCATGCACAGGTAAATTGATAGTCTATTAATAATTCAATATAAAATTTTGTTAATTTGGTTTGTTACTTGAAACTATACAGTCAGAAAGTTTATAGCAACATTTTCACAAACTATCTTTGAATTAAGAATATTGTGATTGGTTGTATAGATAGATCCAACTGTAATAATTTGCAAAGGATTGAATGTACAATAAATGTAATAAATGGCTTATTGTGAACCAATTTAATCATAAAAAATTTTTTTTCTTTTAATCAATTGAAGAAAATTATGATTTAACAAATTACCTCCTTATTTGATATGTTGGTCAATTATTGAGTCCATTTTATTAATGATCCAGTTAAATTGACAACTAATTGATTTGAGTTTCAACTTATTGATTTCAATGATGCTACTATTATAATAGATCTCACATGCGATCAAAAGATTTGTGAGTTTGGGAAATGACTTATCAACAGGTGAAGATATTGAAAAAAGTATTGGAAATCTCCAAGGGACATCAGTAGCACATATTGAACCAAAGAGGAATGTTGGAAAAATTGTAGATACAATTACTGGGGTATCTAAGTGGTATTCTTGGAAGTGGCCAATTGATGAGGAATCTAGTGGATCTATATATGCTCGTGAATTACCTAATGTAGGTGATTGGACCAAATTTTCACCTACAGAAGTAAACAGATTAATTAAACAACAATTCACAAAACCTGAACCAATGTGTACATTACATTCCATTCCAAGAAATAAATGGACCGTGCCAATTCCTGATGCAACAGGTAAATAGATAAATTGTGTAGAATTCATAAATTTATATTAATATTAATAAATATTTATTAAATAATAGGTGAATCAATCAAAAAAAAGCAGAAAAAAAAAATTGAAAATACACTGTCCAATGAATCAAATGACAATCCACTTTTTGTTAATGGTAAATTCTGAAGTATTCAAAAATATCTTATTAATGTTCACTACTGGAAAAAGTAATAATAATATTTAAATATAATATATATTATAGTAAATGATGATGCTTCAAATATACCTGACCTCCTCCAAAGCTCTGATTTTTCCCATTGTGATTTTTCAGAAGGGTAAGAATACTCCTAAATATATAGTAAAATATGATCAAATATATAATTTAATATGTTTGTAATGTGATATATCAATTTAGGCAATGCATAGAAGATATATTCCCACTTAAATTAGGATGGGCAATTAAGGGGAAACAAAAATTTGGAAAAAAAGGTTGTGGCAAAAGAATGCCAAAATAATTGTAGATTTTCTTAAATCTTACTTTCATTCTGGTAACCCTGATAAAAGTCAAAGATGTACACCAGAATCAATGCATCAGAAACTTGTTGAAGAAGCAAATAATAATTACCATTTTATGCCTGAACAAATTCCAAAAGTGGAAACTATTCGAAATTGGATATCTAAATATTCATCTGCAATGAAGAAAGATGCTTCTGATAAAATGTTAGGGAAAAGTAATGTTAATAATAACAATACATCCAACAGATAAATTATATTTATAATTATATTTTGATGATAATGATAATAATTCAAACTTACAATAAATTTTTATGTTATTCGAAGAAAAACTTTACATTCTTATGCTTTAGTACAAATAATTGCAGTTTTTCTGGAACCTATATATTAATAAAAAAATTTTGAAAGTTGGTCAATTGTAAGCATTTAATAATGACGATCCCCCAAAATTTTACTAATTACAGTGTGCACTTCTATCGCGGATCACGAAATAAATAACAAATAATTTTTCAATAATATGCTATCCTAACACTTTGATAATAAAAAATAACAATAACTAATTGATATTTCTATAATATTATAATATCCCATGATCCTTGACTGTGTAATAAATTAATGATTATTGATTCATAACCCTTTCTGATGATTAATGGTTTGGCCAACCTTTAATTATTAGTTAGGGAACCCTTTTAGTTTTACTATATTGCTTGCAGGGATACCTCAAGTGGTGTGGTTGTACATAGTGATTTTAGTTTATTCAAACTATTTATCAATCATTTATTCGAATTATTGTCATTCGTTTATTCGTCTTGTTTGAATTATTCGTTTTAATCAAATTATTCGTTTATTCGTTTTATTAGAATTACGAATTACTCGTTTTATTATTGTTCGTTTATTTTTTTTTATTCGAATTATTCAAGTTATTCATTTTATTTGAACTATTTGGAATCATTCGTTTATTCGCTTTATTCGAATCATTCGTTTATTCGTCTTATTCGAATTATCGAATTATTCATTATTCATTTTATTCGAATAAATCTCCAATGCAATTCGAATACTCGAATTCATAATGAGTAATTGAATAGTAACCTAATCAAGCAGTATAGTTGTATATAGTGATTTTAGTTTAGTTTGCCAGATTTGATGACTCCATAATAAATAACTCAGATCGCACGCTTGCAATATTTATATAATTACGGCATTATGGTTTTACTGTCAATGACTTACGATATTAGAGTGTCATTCTGAATTTATTTATGTAGTGCTGAATTATTGTAATTAAGGTAAAATTTAATTCCTTTTTTATTAATATTAAATATTGTGTGATACATATTTTAGAAAAAAATTTTTTTTTGACAAATTATTACAATATAGTAAATTTTTAAAGATGGGAAACACTTTAAATAAAAATAAGCATCATGATGAATATTCAAAGAAAAGAGAAAAATATTATGGGAAATGTCCAACCTGCAATAGATATAATACTAATTGGACATGGTGCCAATCATGCGATCCAAAGCTATTAACTGAAGGATGGACTAGTGGCAATGAAACATTAGATGAATTGATTAAAAGCACACAACTTGAAGCAACTGAGTATGATAATGATTGTTATCTTCAATGGATTCCTTATGATGATTTAACAAATATTAAAAATATGGGTGAAAGTGGTTTTGCAACTATATACAAAGCTACTTGGTTAAATGGCAATAAATATTTAATTTCTGAAAAAAGAACTAGTGAAGATATGCCTGTGGCATTAAAAAAACTACATAATTCACAGGATATTTCTGATGAATTTCTTAATGAGGTGAATTATTTTATTTTTTTTATTTATTTTCAAACCTTTTAAATATTATTCTGAAATTCAATATATTTTTTTTATATAGTTTAAAAATTATGTTACATTTTATGATGAATCATTTATAAATAAAATTTATGGATTAACACAAGATCCAATTACAAAAGAATACATTTTTGTAATTCATCACATGGAAGATGGAAATCCTCAAAATGATAAATATTCAAAGAAAAGAAAATCAAGGTATGGGAAATGTCCAACCTGCAATAGATATAATACTAATTATTTCTGGTGTCAATCATGTGATCCAAAGCTACTAACTGAAGGATGGACTAGTGGCAATGAAACATTAGATGAGTTGATTAAAAGTACACAACTTAAAGCAACTAAGTATGATAATCATTATCATCTTCAATGGATTCCTTATAATGATTTAACAAATATTGAAAGGATATGTGAAGGTGGATTTGCAACTATATACAAAGCTACTTGGTTAAATGGTATGAAAGATACATATAATCATGGTGAAAGAACTATTGAGGATAGGACTGTGGTATTAAAAAAATTAGATAATTCTCAAAATATTTCTGATGAATTTCTTAATGAGGTAAATTATTTTATTATTATCAATTTCAGGTGTTATTTATTGTTGTAATTAAATATTTTATTTGTTATTTTAGTTTAAAAATTATACAAAGCTTCAAAATAAAATAGAAATAGTTCATATTTATGGATTAGCACAAGATCTAATTACAAAAGAATATGTATTTGTAATGGAATATATAAAAGATGGAAGCCTTCAAAATTATTTAACAAAAGAATTTAAAAATTTAAAATGGCAGAAAAAGATTGGAATTCTTAGAGAAATTATTAAAGGTTTAAAAGACATTCATAAAGAAGAAATTGTTCATCGTGATTTTCATAGTGGTAATATTCTTCAAGGTTATTTTTCACATATTACAGATTTAGGATTATCATACCCAGCTAGTCAAACATCTTCACCAAACAAAGATGGTATATTTGGAGTACTACCATATGTTGCACCAGAAGTTTTAAGGAAGAAACCATATACAATGGCATCAGATATATACAGTTTTGGAGTTCTGATGTCTGTAGTATCTACCGGCCAACAACCTTTTAATGATTTGGCACATGATATAGATCTTGTAATGAGAATATGTGATGGTGTAAGACCTGGATTTTCAAACAACACACCAAAATTCTATATTGAACTAGCATTCAGATGCATGGATGCTAATCCAACTGCTAATGAAATTTATAAGACTATTAAAATTTGGTATGACTCATTTGATTATCAGAATTTTGGAGATTATGAATCAATTAGAAAAGAGTTTGAGAGAATGGATGAAATAAAATTTGATCCTTCAACAATTACTGCAATAATTCATCCAAATGCTGTTTATACTAGCAGATTATTAAATTTTACAAACCTTCCCCAACCTGTGAATTCCAATAAAGTAACAATTATTGGTAACAACAATGGTAGTTATTAACATTTACCAATGATTATTTTTGTTTTTATTAATTTTAAAATTAACAAAATTTATTAATACCCACTCTTGTGATAAATATTTTGTAGATTCTAAACAGGTTGAATTAACTATACCAGATGAATTACCCGAATAAGTTAAATCTTGTTATTATATCATTATATTGAGTAATGATATTATATGAAGGTAATAACTTTTCACAATTATCTTTAGAATTTTTTTTCATTTGAAATCTGGATGTCAAATATGCACACTAAATAATGATTTTTGACAAAAAAATATATAATTTTTAATAATCATAAACATACATAATTGCAGTATTATTTATTTTCTTGCCTTTTCAAATCAATGTCTTCATTTTTTTATAGCATTAACAAGTGATATACTTATCAATATATTATATAATATATAATTATTAATATATCAATAAAATATATTAAAAATTTATACAGCTTAAAACAAAAACCGGTTTCCAGGATCTTCTGGCCAAATTTAAGTTTTTTACATAATAATAACATTAACCTATAACATATAGACTATAATTAGTGAATTATTGGACCCTGTTTGCTTAAAAAAATGGGGAATTGTAGGCCGGTTAAAATTAACGGTCAACCAATTTTCACAGTTAATTAACCGGCCAAAGAATTTTTAGACGGTGCCAATCTCTGCTTCACGCATACATTCTAGGAAACTTTTGATTTTACTTTTGTATGACTTGTATATTATATTATATTATATTATATTATATTATTATTATATATTATATTATTATTATTATATATTATTATATATTACATGTTTATATAAAAACAAAAATTCTATAAATAAAGTTATTATTATCCAAAAACATTAACCTTATTCTGTAATGATTAATTTTACAATATTTTCTAAAATGCCAACAAACATTCCTCTTATAATCTCTTTCTCGTCCAAAAAACCGTCAACTAATCTATTAACCATGACTCTAGAATTCTCATATCCCATAACTCTTAATAATGATTCTGGCATAGCCTTTTGAAGGAGTAGTCTTTTTGCGGTCTCTTTAGTTTGTATTTTTTCTTCTTCTGTACGTGTAGGCCCTGATTCTTCCCATACACCATTTGGCCAAAATGAATTTTTGAAATCGTCAATCATTGATGCTACATTCTCTTCAGTTGTCAATTTATGAATATTTATTAGAAATGATTGTCTGATGGCATCAGTATAAGATCTTCTGACCACTTCTCGCAAAACCGAAAGTACTGTTTTACGAAGATGCCATTGTGATTTCATTGATAAATCAAATATTTCTTCGACTATCGCAAACACTGTGTCGATCAGTATATCAATTTCTTGTCCTGTCAAAACTTTGTTTGGTCTATTGGTTTTAGATTTGGATACTGAGTTATTTTTAGAATGATTATCGTCTTCGTATGATGAAATATGTGAATTATCGTTATTTCTTGTTGTTATTCTATTTGAATCATTTGAATCATTTGAATTGATTTGGCCTGAAAATGAGTCGTTCATTGAGCTAGTAGGTGTCACAGAAACCCACGATGACGCATTACTATCAACACTAGGTTTTGCCGAATGTGCTATTTTCTTAAATTTAAATATTTCATCCGATCGTTCTGTCAATCCATTTTCAATAGGCGAAGATGGCAATAGTCTTTCAAAATTTTCTATCGTTTTTTTAGGTGGATCTGATAGTAGCGGTGGTTGTGATAATTGTGATAACGACGGTTCTATTGGTTTCCTGGATGTAATTTCCGAAAAACTTTTTTGTAATGAAAAATCAAAACCAAATTTTTTCTTTTCCAAAGAGTTTCTTCTATTACCGCCGCTATCCGTTATTTGTAAATTATTGGCAATATTATTAACTCCTGCAACGAGATTTACCATGGACATTGATTTTGGAATTGACAAAATTGAAAGACCTCTGGTTCTCTTGGATTTTGGTAAAGACAATTCTTCATTGGGAAGACCATCCCTTTTCATAAATTTCTGGAGTGGATCACTCTTGGCCAAAGTGCTATCACTCAACAAAATATTTAAATATCTTTGCAAATCTTGACATGCATCATAATTTTTCTTTAACATTAAACGAGGCATGGTTACTTTCTCGGCTTTTGGAAATTCGTTTACCAATGCAATATGCATAGCTTCAAAATCTGCAAAACTACGTGTCATTATCCATCCGGTAGAACCAGGTTGTTCCACTTCTATCATGTATGCAAGGTTTTTTTTAGAATAAATAATGTTATTGAATCTTGATTCAGAGACCTCACACATTTTTATACTGACACCAGTAAGATCCATCCTCGTATTTGCCGATCTAAAGTGAACAGAATTTGTTTCTGGATCACTATCATATAATTCTTCCGTATACTTTTCATCTGAATTTTCAATTAATGGATCTTCTACTGAATATGATCTGGTTATTGATTCACCAGGAGTTGAATACAAATAATTTATTTTATTACCGTCGTCACTACCACCATCATCATAATCATCGTCATAATCACCATTATAATTATTGTAACTATTATAATTATTATTGTCATTATTGTTTTTATTGCCATTATTATCATTATTATCATTTTCATGACCATTATTACCATTATTATCATTTTCATAATCATTATTATCATTATTATCATTTTCATGATCATTATTATCACTATTGTCATTTTCATGATCATTATTATCACTATTATCATGATCATTATTATTGTCACGATCACTAACAACAACATTATCATCAACATTATCATCAACATCATCGTTATAAGTCATTGTATTATACTCTAAAGTTTCTTCGTTAGTGCTTTTCAAAATTGATAAAGAATCATTGATTGTGCTGTATCGTTTGGAAGATGAATTGTCGTTTTCAGTTAAACCATTGTGGTTGTCTTTTGCTGATGATGAACTTGAATTTTTTTCATGATATGGATTATTAAATATCATTTCTTGCGATTCTTTTTCAGTTTCAATGGGTTTTCCTGAAAATCCATTTTCATCATTTTCATTCATTTTAAACAAATTTTCTTCTTTTGTTGGTGATTCTATTTCTATTTTATCAAAGAAATTATTACTATTACCATTGCCACCATTGCCAACATTATCACTATTGTCGTCATTATTATTATTATTATCATCATCATCGTCATCGCCACCATTTTTATTTTTTTGTTTAGGTTCATCTTCATAAATCAAGAAACTCATATCTTCACCTTGACCTTTCATATCTTCAACAAAATCATCAAAGTACTTTTCTTCCAAAACATTAAAAACGTATTCTTGTAAAGAAATAAAACAATTGAAGCCTGGAGCTTTAGTTATCTCATTAATACATTGCTTAATTAACTTATCATTTGTCACTTTAACTGGGTAAGTGGCAGCCTCGCCAAAATATGTTTTAAATATGCCAATAGCGTCTTCTTGGATCAGGCTAGTATCTATTTCATTGGATGCAATTTTTTTAAATGAGTCTACCTGAAGCCAAAACCTAAGTAAATTTGCGGCTTCTCTTTCCTCAAGAAATGCCATAAATTCAGCAAAAATCTCTGATTTACGATTAAGGACTGATTGTAAATTTTTGAATCTTGCTGATGTCATATCAATTGAATTTCGTGAAGATCTGGATCTGTTATTGATGCCATTAATATTATAACCATTAATAATATTATTATCAATATTATTATAGCTATAGTTATAAATATTATTATTGTAGTTATAGTTATTATAACTATCGAAATTATTGAATTTGTTATCAGTATTAGAATAATGAGATAAATTTTGTTGTTGCTGTTGATGTCGAGATGATGGTAACGATGATAAATCATTCGTGTGTGAATAAATGGATTGTCCTTGTTCGTTATTAGATGATGGACTGGTGGCAACAGCAGAAGCGGCGGTGGTAGTAGTGGGATCTTGCAATAATTTTTCAGCAAGACCAGCCACTTCCTCTTCTAAAGAGGAAGCTAACTGTTGGAAAAAAGTACCTTCATCTTCATTAGAACCCTCATCTGAAAGATAGTCTACTATGGTACAATTTAACCAATCTGGATCACTGATTGTATCAAGTAGTGGTGAAAAAATATTATTTGTCCATAACTCAGTAAGGAAAGCCATTAATATTTGACTTTGAGACTCGGATGATGGTAAGAAACGTGATAATATTAGACGTGATAATGAACGTAAATTTTGAGTTTGAATTTGTTTACTTGTTGTGAAAGCCAATGGAGATGATTGGTTTTTATCACAGTAAACATCTAAAGATTCATTTGCAGCGATAAATTTTCTATATTCACGCTATTTATTTTTTTAAAAATAATATTTAAATTTGTTAATAATAATTAATAATTTACCCCTTTCAAGAATTAAATATATATATATATATATATATATATTAATTACTTACTAAATGAACAATAAAAGAATTTGCGATTGTATAACTTGACATTACACCTAATTCAATTTTATCTAAATTTTTAAGGCATAAAGATAAATTTATTGCCATAGAATTCATTGAACTCCTTATGTTTTTTGACAACTCTTTTTCATTATTTTCATCAATTGGCTCACAATAAACATCTATTATGTCACGCATAATGTAATCAAAAGTTTTATTTAGCACTTTATCAATTTTTGGTGAAATTGAAAGTATTGTTATTGTTGATTTTGATTCTGATTTTGATTTTAATTCCTAAAAATTTTATTATTTGGAGAAGCAAAGTTTTTTTTTAAGTATATATAAAATATAAATTTATCTCGGTAAAAAAAAATTTTTGTTACCATTGATGATACTTTATTAATATTTTTATTATCTATAAACGGATTGTTTTTTTGTTCTAAGGCTTTTACATCAATTTTTAAAGTGTAAATTCTAATCATATACCCAACTCCACAACCCAGTATCAATACCAGTATGGATGACTTTTGTATGAAACTCCATGTAAACAATATTAATAAATACATGCCAAAAACTAATTTTGGTGAAGTTGTAAAGAGTACTTTAATTAACTCTAAAAAATCTGTTTCGCCATCATTATTGTTGGATGTTGATTGTGTTGATTGTGTTGATTGTTCTGAAATCTTTGTATGTTTGCTTTCAGTCGATGAAATCTGGTTGTCATTCTCATGTTTTATGATAGCGGCAGTAGTTTCTGCTGTTGTTGTTTCTGTGTTGCTTATTTCTTTTGAAGAGGATTTAGATTCTTGAGTTGGTAGGTGATTTTCTATTGAATCAATAACATCAACAACTGATGTATTATTATTATGATTAGTGGGAATTATATTTGCTAGATTTGTTTCTGCATTCATAATTTCAGGATTTTTTATTTCTTCTGATTACGTAAAAATAGAAGAACATTAAATTTACCCAGAAAATCTTACTAAAAAAAGCTAAAAAAATTTACCCCTGGTACGTACAACTCAAGTCTTATTATTTTGATGTTGAACAATTATAATTACATGATTGACCTGAATTTTGTCAATGTTACATATTCATTCACCTTGCTTTTGAAGAAAAAAAAAAGGTTCTTTAAAAGTTTTTCTTTATGAGAATAATAAAACGATAACGAATCGATTAATGAAGCAATGGAAGTGATAATGAATCGAGTGATAAAATGAATCAAGTAGTGATATTTGATGGATGATCCGTCTATGAATAGTGAATTTTAATTACTATTGGTGATCATGTCACGAAAACGACTAATCGAGTACCTTTGCATAAAAGGTTGTACTGTTTCATTATATAAATTATACGCAATGGGAAAAAATACAAAAATTTTTTTTCTTGTTTGACGAGAGTTTACTATGAATGGAAAGGTGCGTGTAACATATGCATAAATTTCAAATTTTTTAACATGCTCTCTACATAAAGCTACGGCTACTCAAAAGACTCGATAGTACCTTATTATTATGAGGGTGTTGGCTAGAGAGATTCATGAAAAACCATTTCATAGAAAATTAATACTAATTATGTCAAAAATTTACCATTCGACACAAAAAAAAAGAAAAAAGTAAGCATTCCATACTATCAAATAGAAAACTGTCAATCTTTTAAATTCTATATAGAGCAGCAGAGAAAGGTCTACTTTAGACGCCTAAAAGAATTTCTTTATTATCTAAATATGTTATTTATATGAAATAGATGGCGCCATTGTGATTTTTGTTTTTTGGTTTTATTTGTTTATTAGTTTCCACTTTAATATTTAAGAACTAAGGCGCAAGAATGATTCTATTAAATATATATCATCTATAAACTAAGTGTAAACGATCTTTAGGACATTCTTCAATTTGTTTTGTTGAGGTGGTGAGGGTTTGTGTGTACGAACTTAAGCTCCTTTACGCGTCCATACTTTTATTAATTTCTAAAAAAGCATCTTCGGTCGTATGTGTATGAAATAAAGGAAAACGAGAGTCCTCTAGAAGGGAATTATGTGAGCAAGTATTATCAGCGCGAGTGAAATTCAAGAGCCTTTCTAGTCTTTTTCTTGTTAATCATCATTCTCTTCAAGTTCTGCTACCATTACTACTGCTAATTTGGAATATTTGCCAAATGAAATAATTTTCATGATTGTTGGATGTCTGGACATTGAACAGTGTATCAAAAATATTTCTTATATAATTCCTATTAATTCAAATATAACGATAATAATTTAAATTATAACATGATCAAAAAACAATTGAATAATATGTTTTTTACTACTGATAATTATACAAACCTTACAAATTATAATATTACGCTAAATATCGCAAGATACGCTTGAACCATTTGATGATTCAGATGAAGCATCATCATCGTCGTACAGCCAAACCTTGTCACAGCGGATTATAATTAAATTCTTGTCATAGCGGATTTTTAAAATTCTGCTTCACATATAAAAACATATAAAACCCCGCTGTGGCAAGATTAGTAATCTTGGCACAACGGATTTTAAATAAAATTTTCTTATATGTCCCGTTCATCCGCTGTGACAAGGTTTAACTGTATATGATATCTCAAATGGGCCTGGACAATAGAAAAGGAGTCAACGTCAAAATCATGATTTTAAGTTGATACCACATATATACGTAACTTGTCGCAAGGAACAACTTTAGCTTAGAAACTATGCCTACTTAAAAATTTTGAGAAATTTTCTGTTTAGTTTTTTTAAAAATAGTAAACAAAGACATCGCAATAGAAACAAGGATAATTGCAAAGGTCATGGTTATGAGTTAACACATTTCTATATGCAATTCATCACAACAATTAATTTTAGCTTAATAACCATGTCCATTTAATAAAATTTCGAGATATTTTCCGTTAAAGGCAATTCGCGATTTTGACGTTGACCCCTTTCTATTCTTTCTCTAGGAAACCAGTTGATCGGTTGAATGTACAAATGTTTTCCAAAACCATCATTATTATATTCGTTTATGTGATATGAAAATGCAAGTATAAGAAACTCTAAATAAATTATTTTTTAAATTCATTATATTATTTACAATGGTGGTATTGATTTTGACTTATCCTATATTTATAAATGGAAAAAAAAATTAATGATAATAATGATACAGCTCACTTTCTCTATTATAAAGAGAATCTGTTATAGACAGTAATATGGACATATAAATTGGCTATTTTTAAAAATTATTATAAGCTGAACAAGTGATATGTCATAACAATATGCTTAATCCTGGATGAAGTTGAAAATACACATATCATATAATTTCGGAAATTTATGATAATGACACGCATAAAAATCTTGCCATCATATTTTCTTCCAGTGTCACATGGCATCATTGTCAGGAAGAAACTTGCAACATTTGGAAAAAATTAAGCCCAAAGAAGTGAATCTTAATCTTTCCTTAAATCTGTAATAGTAACATTTTATTATTGGCGTCACGTAATGTTTATTTAATTTTGAACAATATATAAATTGTTACTTGTACATGGATTTTGTTAAACAGCCCATATATATTTTATTAGAATAAAGTAAAAATAATCTTGGAACAATTCCAGAATGCCTAATAATAACATATTGTATGTAAATAAATTTTCCGATGACTAACAGTATTGCATATTAAACGATAGGCAATAAATCACCAATCAGAAGTCTTCTATATTTTGAAATAATTTGATCTATTTTAACCATGATCCATGCAGAAATGGATTTTACATACTCATTTGGATTATTTTCAAATAAATTTGTAACCCATTGGTTTGTTTCAATCAAATCTTTACTAAAAAATGTTGCTAATTCTTGTTCTGGAAGCGCCTTTAGTATTACACTTATGCCGAAAAGTAATGATGATACAACAGCTACATCATCAAAATATCTTAAAGACAGTATCATATCCCAAAATTCTTTTGAAATTTCTAAATTTTCAACTGTGTTTGCTAATATAAAAAAATTAATTGTTTTTTAAGATACTGATATATACATTAATTGCTCAATTACTCAATTACTCAATTAATTTAAATGAGACTCACTTGAACATTGAACAATAGTAGCCAAAGTTGTTATATATTTACTTAGTAAAATAGGCTCATACATACCTTTATTGATAGTATCACTATACAATATAGTAATATTTTTTTTTAATACATAATACTTTGCATATAAATAAAATGAATAATTGTTCAAAGAAATAAAACTTTTACCGATTACGAATCCAATTCCAAAATCCAGCTGATAATGGAAAGAAAAATGGTTTTGCGGCAAATTCATTAAACCTGTTGACTTTTATTGAACTTGAATGAATGGATTGGACCATTGGTTTTCTTGAAAATCGATTTACTTTGTTATTACTGGATGGTGATGGTTCTTTTGACGTTTCAATTGCGTTAACACTTAAACCGCTAGTTTGTTTTGATAATAAATCAATAATTGAACTTTCTCTTCTGACCTTTGAATAATTTACATAACGTTATTATAAAGATGATCCCAAATATAAAATTTTATTTTTATAGACTATACCTCGATTTCTTCTGGTTGTTCTATTCCTGCTAATTCTTTAGCTCCTGATGCCAATACTGATAACATTGTAATTTTTTCAGAGAGAGAATATCTTTTTTCAAAAAATTCTTTAATAATATACCTATAGTGACATCAATTTGAATTTTATCATTATTGAAATAACAATGTTGATAATGATAATGTGATGACGTTAACCTACAATACAGTATTTTTTGGACTTCCAACTACGAGTGCAGTTAATGCCGCATGTCTTTTTTCTTCAAATTCTTTCAATTCAAATGTATTATTTATTGAAATAAGAACTCTGGCCAACTCATTAGCATTTTCATCTTTAATTAAAAAAAAACCAAATATTGTCATTGATTAAATTAATTAAAAGCATCTTGATTATTAATATATCAATAAATTCATTTTAATACCTAATTCCGTTCCAAAATTGGTTTTTAGTCTAATCAATTTTTCAGCTGTATTCATAGCAATTTCAATCTTTTCAGGATCTTCAGCTGCTTTTAACATTTTAATCAAGTCTATAATATATCTATTAAACAAAAATATATTCAGCATCATATAAAAAAAAAAAAAGATTCTCTATTTTTTTTTAAAAAAAATACATACACAGGAGGCAAAGTATTTTTTGGCTTTGTTGCTAAAGTATCATAATCTTCTTCATTTTCATCAAAATCGCTTTCATCCATTGAATATGGTTCAAAGTCATCTTCATCATCAGAATCTCCAACCAGTTTAGTAGTTTCATCCTCATCAATAACTGTATTTTTTAAATTTTAAAATAGGTAATTAATTGATTCAATAAAAATATATAATTCTTAAAAATAAGATTTACCATTTGATGATTGATCAAAATCTTCTTCAAAAGAATTAGTAATGACAGAAATGGATTGTGAATTATTTTCATCATTAATGTCTTTATTCCTTTTAAATGACCTGTTCTCTGTATTAAATATGATATATGATAAATCTTGCTGGAAAAATAACCAAATTGACATTTTTTATTTTCCCATACCATTATCATCATCATCTTCTTCTTCAGTATTAATAATCAGCAAATTATTTAATCCGTCCTTTGCATCAACCAATTGCCTTAATGTTTTAACTTCTTCATCTTGAGGATCTAACTTGAAATCCAACACGTCATCATTTTCATCAAGTAACCATGAAAGCATCTCAACAGTAATCTGATGAATTTAAAAGTAATATCTTTCACAAAATTGTATATTTTACAGATGTGAAAATCAAATCATGACTAACCATTGCAATTTTACGTGTTCTATCAAAAGAACTTTTCATCCATTGTGTTGTGCCAACACCTATGTCTTTATAAATGTTTATCTTTAATAATATCTCTTTTGGAAGATATCCAAATATAATAAGAATAGCACTAGTGACATCTAACATAATAAATAGTAATTAATAGAATTCTTTGTTTACTTTTTTATTGCTAAATATGTAAATGATTTAACATACAAAGTTGTAATGAATTTGATGCATGCTTGACAAATGTAGTGTCTGACCAAGTTGTAGTAAGTGATTTCAAGACTTGTGTGAGATCTATTTTATTAAATTAAAATAAATAAATAAACATTTTTAAATAACTGTAAAGTGAATTTTTTTTCAATATAAAAAAATTAACCATCATCTGGACCCAATTTCAAGTTAATTTTTTTTGCATTATTCAAGATGATTGAATCATGATTTTCTTGCAGAGATCCCCAGCTGATAAAACAACATAGGACTCTGATAATACTAGTAGGAAAAACTTTCCCACAAATAAAAAATTTGTTTTTAATCAGGTATTTAGCTTTCAAATTCTTATTACTAATTAGAATCTGCAGCAATCTAGAAACTTTTTGAATTAAATGTCGAGACTGATCTTGAATAAAATTATTATTGGAAATTTTGTAAAGATCCCTATTTTGTGCATGAAGTAAAAGTTTAGATAGAAATATTTCAAGAGTATGTGATGGGAATGCATCAATTATATTTTGCCATAAATTATAATAAGTATATGATATTCTATTATCATCCAAATGTTTCATTAATATTGGATATATAATTTGAATAATAATTTCTGTTTTTTAAAAATTTATACAAACAAAAAATTTAATAATAATAATAATAATAATAATAATAATAACATTCAAAGTAAAAAAGGGAACCTGATTGTCCAATTCTACATATTTTTGATAATAACTCCCCACAAGCAAATGTAAGGTTTTTGAAATCATTTTCATTTCCTATGAAATTATTTTAGAGATAAAATAAATATATTATTATTATTAATTAATTTAATATATACATACATATATATATATATATAATACATGCCTTGTGATCTTTCTTTATCACAATAATTTAAAATCATTTTTTCACAATCTACAATAAGCTTACTCAAAAAATTTCTTGTGATATTTTTTCAAACAAATCATTAAAGCTAATCAATTCATAAAGATATTAAAATTTTTAAAAATAAAAATAAAAAACAATAGGATACAAATTATTAAAAAAATCATCATAATCATCCAATTCTTTATTATGTTGTAAATTTTGAATTAATAAATTAGCATTTGCACATCTATCAGGAATTGAACATATTAATGATATAAATTCTTTCCATTCATAAAATCTATCATTTTGATCTGCATCTTTATTATCTATAATTACATCAAAAAAGTCTTGTAAAAAATAATTCTTCAATAATGTATACAAGAATTTCTGATATTTTCTAAGCATATATAATTGTTGTTGTTTAGCATCTTGAGAAATTAGAGGATCTGGTGGTTGGACAGTCAAATGAGTAACCAGAATTTGTAATGATTTTTTTGCTTTTAATTTCTTCTGAAAATTCTTAACACCTGAAGGAACAAAATCTTCAATCACACATTCTGGATGGTCCATTATTTTTTAAGAAATAATTTAGTGCAACATTTTTCGGTGCAACACTAAATTCCTTCCAAAAAAAAACAAGAGATTTAGCAAAATAACTGGTCACTCATTATATGTTATTTTACTCATTATTTGTAAAGTTACTTTATTAACTTTAATATTTTTTTTGCACGAGTTAATTTTTAAAAATGGTTTTTGTTTAAAGTATATGATATATTTATTATAAATATTATAAAATGAAAAAAATAAATATTATTATCTATATTTAAAATATCTAAAGTATTTATATTGATTATTATTAAACACATAATTTACAAGTAAATAAAAAAAGGAGAAATATTCTTAATATAAAAATAAAATAATTAATATTTAATTTATGATTTTTGACTTGCTATTTCTGTTTTTCCGTCACTGGACTTATCAACAAGTTGTTTGGCAGTTCTTGCCACAACAATTACAGGAAAAATATAAACAGTATAAAGTAAAGAAGTCACCACCGAGAAAAGAATTGTGATATCGTCGTATACTATTTATTATTACATAAAAATGTAATAAAGAAATACTTTAGTATGTAATTATCATTATTATTATTGGTGTGAATTTTCTTAAAATGAAAAAAAACTCACCCCTGTCAAAAATAATATTTGGAAGAGAATTTAATGGAAGAGATTTTGGATCATAGAATAGAGTTACTCGTGTCTTTTATATATGTTTTATGTAGTAAATAATATATAAAGGATTGTAAAAAAAAAATTTTTAATAATGAAAAAAATCAAATTGACAAATATATAATTTATATTTATATAACTCACCTTTTCTTTTTCATCCCTGGAAAAAATATAAATCAATATAATTAATATAAATTGATATAATATAAAAATTATTAAATTATTAAATAAATGTGAATTATATTTACGATTTCTCTATGATTTGACTTTTTATAACCTTGATTTCATTATCTTGTTCAGTCATTTTAGTTGATAATGTACAAATTAACTTTTCAACCTTATTGAGATTCTCTACTTGTTTTTTTTGTGTTTCCATCATAGCTTCAAATGATGGAATTATCGCAAGTTTGTCAGATTGTTCTTTGACAGTAGATTCAAGTACAACATTAAGTGATAGGAGTGATTTGTTGGAAATTCTAAGATCAAGAAACTATAACATATATATTAATATATTAGACTATCAAATTTATTATAATAATGATGATAAAGTAATAAAATATATAATATATTACCTTTCTCTGAACCCTTGGATCAGATGATAAACTCATTAATTCATCAAGCTCGGCCTGATCATTATCATTATCATTAGATTCATCATTATCATTACCATCATTATATTTATCATCATCATCACCAACTTCATCATTATAATCCTCCTCATATTCATCGTCATCATTTCTTGAGTCAGGGAAATTATCTGTAAAATTGTTAGCGTTATTTAATTGTGCTGAAAGTGCCACTTTTCTTGGCTTAACAGCTTCAGTTGTTCTTGGTTGTGCTACGTTATCGCCAATATCCATCATAGCACTGGCTGCAATTCTAGGCTTAGGTGATCTGGCTTCACTATATAAAGAAGGTTGCTGATGTTGATTGGGATAATAATTGTGGTTGTTTTCATAGGTTGTGGCGGTTGGTACGCGGGGAGGAAAGTTAAATGTTTGTTTTCGTTGTGGATTGTATACTTGAGGACCTGGATCACTATAATTTGTTAATTCAGTACGAGTGTCATGTGGACGATATGTAACATCAGACCAAGCTCTAGGAGAAGCATTTGATGGCTTGGTGGCAAATCTAGAATTGATTTGGTTATATTGTGAATTATTATTATAATAACTTTCATTATGTTGATATTGAGGTTGTTGATATTGATGGGGAGGAGGCTGATATTGATATTGGTTTTGGAACTTTTGATGATGTTGTTGTGGTTGATGCTGTGGAGAAAACTCTGTTGAATTAAATTCGATAACAGAATTTGCTTTAACTTTTGGTTTTGGAAACTCTTTTTTATAAACCACTTCAGAACGACTTTTTGATGATAAATGATTTTGGTTTTTCGCCTGATTGAAGGCAAAACCTGCTGCGTCAATAATTGATTTCGTTTCATCTTTTGTATTTTGTCTTGGACTGTTTTCAACTCCCATTTTTTAAAAAAATTTCTTTATAATGAAATTTATATTAATATGAAAGAAAGAAATTTTATTTTTTGTCGACTAATAATAATGCGAAGTTAAAATTATTATTTTTATTCTGTGTAACAATTTCATGTTTTTATGTAGAAATCTTTTTAAGTAAATTTAGGAGAAAATTTACTTTTTAAATCCAAATAATGCACAATTTTTTTTACATTGTTAGGTACGCACGCACGCCGCCGGAAGCATAAAAATAACTTTCTATTTTGATACAACCAAAAAATTACTTACAGCCATTTTTCATTTTACAATGATAAAAAATTGACGGATTTGTTTCGAGAATTTTATCATTAGATGAGAAACTTCATGATGGGCAAAGCAAGCATTTGTTCGGGAAATCATGTTTGCTTTTAGTCGTACCATAAATATTTTAGATGATAATAATTTAAGTTTTCGCCAAACTGTAGCCCAAAATTGGCAGACTAGCCTCAGGAGCTTCCATCTTCAATTGTGAAATGTCCATGGTGAGCGAGGAAAATATTTATTGGAGATCATATCTGTTTTTTATTTTTACATGACGATAGTCCGTCTTCAACTGCCAGCGGTATCAGGATTGGAAGATTTGCCTTAGGAGCATTGAGCTTGAATCAAGAGAAATAGTTTGTGAGTGGGGAGGATAAATAAATATTTGTAATGTTTTCCTTTATTCACATTGTAATATTCTCTGGATTTATTTATCAATGCTATATAATACTGATTATTATACAAACAATCGTATTGATTTGTCATCAACGCCAACTAATAATAATAAGGCTGATGTCGCAAAATTTTCAGGGCTAAAAATTTTTGTTCCCTTTGACAAATTAAAGGTGCGTTGTTTTTTCAAAAAATCTTTCTCTATCGCTTTATCAATTCTGCTACTCTCGTTTTTGTTTTCATTTTTTTTTTATAACTGAACTCAAAAATATTAATAGTACGTTTCATGATTTTTTATTGTTTTAAATAATTCTTAGAGGAGTGGGGAAATTAGTGAGGGAAATGTATAAAATATAGAATTAAATATTTACATCGTTTAAGAAAAATTATTAATTATCATTAGACAAATTCGTTAAAAATTATAGCAATAACTACCGGTTGTTATTTAAATCATTAGTTGATAATTGTATCAGAGCCATCGACTGCAACTCCCAAACCTAAGCCAACCAATCTACGTAAATGAAAATAACTATCACCAGTAAGAGAATTAATTTTTGTTGATATTTCTTTTAATTCTTCATAATTTTGTGGTACAAATGGAAATTCTTCTGCTGCTTTACATAAAGCGGTCGTGACATTAATAGTATTTGAGATTTTCATCATGACGGGTTCAATACCAACTTGACAGATTGCACAAAACCATGTATCAAAATTTTGGATTTCATCTTTGTTCAAATTCACACATGCACAATGATACCATTCTTTACACCTGTCGCATTGAATCATCATATTGAAATCATCTGGATTTCTACAGAAACAATAATGTCTTTCGTTTAATGGAGGTTTGTCTTCGTTATTTGCTAAATAAACATATCTGATCAACTCGAGCCATTTCTGAATAAATTCCTGGTAATTAAATTTTATAAATGGAACTTTGTGATAATTTAATAACCATATTCTTTGTGCTATTTCGTGACATAACAATTTAACGCATTGCGACCAATCATTGGATACTTTAATATAGCTAGAAAGATCCTGAATCTCTATATCAAGCCCCCCTTCTTTTATCCTATAATCAATATATTCCAATACGTGAATATGTGGTTTCTCTACTTCTTCAATATAGTTATTAATCATCATCATATCATTCATGGCGTCTTGAACAGTTTTTTGCATAGCTATGATTAATTCGTTCAAATGAAAATCCAGAACCATAAGTTGCAGGAAATGACATGGCTTATCATAACACTTACATATCTTTGATGAAAATTGAACTGCGTGTTCTAAACAAAGTATTTTTTTTGAACATTTGAAATGTAACGATGAAAGATAGCTGAATCCATTACAATAAGCACATTGCATCTCAATATCATCGTTCGGATCCTGGGCGCAAAATATTGGTTGTTGAGAAATGGCCAGCTTGGTAGTAACTTCATGACGTAACTTAATTTCTTCTCTGCATATTTCAGTAAGTGGTTCCTTCAACCATTTCATAGTACCGTAATTTGAAAGATTTGCTATTCCTATTTGAAGAAGTAACTTTTCATGAGAGAAAACAGGCAATCTTTTAATATCTTTATAAAATTTAACTGAGTCGTATCCATAACCAATCCAATCAGGAAGTGCAAAATTAACCGCCTCATTAAGATTTAACTAAATAAATAAAAAACTATTAATAATCTATAAAGTTTAATTTAAATGCTGATATATATATATATATTAAAGATTTCAAAAGTACATACACCTTGATTAAAACCTGAATGGTAGGCTTGTGGAAAAGTAACTATAAATTGGTTTGGTCTCTGATCAATAGCATATACTTCTATGCCTTCTTCAACCAGTTTTTTTGGATTCAATATAGTGGTCAATTGTGTTAATAGATCTGGTTGATGTTGGAAAAGTTCAGGTAAAAGTTTTTTGGCAGCGAGTTCAAATTTTGAAGCATTTGATGATGGAATTCCATACCAAGTTTTGGTTGCCCCCCAGTGCATATAATTAATACTATAGGTGTAATGATCTTCCACATGCCAACAAAAAGCCGAAAATATCATCCCAACGTAAACCCATGGAAGCATCATTCCTGGAATGGCGGGTGTTATATGATGAAGTAAAGATCCTGGTAATCTTGGAAGATTTTTAAGATTCCAAACACAATTTTTGTATGAATTATTTAAATCTCTTTCACTACAAGGAAATCCACTATATAATTAATGAATAAATTATTTTATTTTAATATAATTAATAAAAATAAAAATAAAATAAAATAAAAAATAAAAAAAGTTTACCTTCCATAATCAGTAGAATTTACATCAGCTCCATAATAAACTTCTGTATCATCATCTACTTTATGAGCTAACCTCCAAAATTCCGATTCGATATAATCTTCAATTGATATACCTGGTGGAAGTGGATATTCTTCAAGATAATCTTCCTCGAATTTATCAGCCAGTTTCTGAAACTCACCCAATGTAAATTCTTCGCCAGCCTCAAAACCAAACTCGATTCCGGTCATAAGCAAGCAAGTGGGACAATACCATTTCGAATTTTTATGCAAGGTTGTTCTTTTGATTTTAAGACATTCAGGATGATAATATTTATTACAATCGCCACTACAATGCAATAATCCATCAATTTCCGATGAAGTATTGCCACATTCTTCACATGTATTATGTACTTGATTTTTATCCATCAATTCATTTTCATCGTCAATGTCGAATTGATTTCTATTTGGTTTTAGATGTTCTTGTTTTGAATTGGCCACATACCTTTCATATGGCTCGATAAACTCATAATAACGTTCTTTGACTGTTTTAGATGCTGATGTGCATGTCTTGGAATAACCTCCTTCTTTAATTTCTCTAGCAACTTCTGCCCATTGTTTATTTTTCCCAATCTGAAATAATAAAGTGAGTGATAAATGAGAGAAATGACTTAATAATGGTTAATTAAAAATTGAAAATTGAAATTTTTTTATTTTACGATTTACCACCTCCAATGGCCCTCCTCTATCATAGACCGCTCTGGCAAGTTTATGTAAATCAATGGGTGTTTTATCTAATTGAGGCAATTTTGTAAACGGTCGACCTTGTTGGTCATGAAAAAGTTGTAGTTGTTCAATATAATTTAACTTTGCTCTAGTTTCTCCCTCCATCATATTAACTTTTTGTATACGAGTCTTAAACTTAAATGTCTAAATAAAGATATATTAGAGTTCATGAAAGTTGGAATTCAAAAATTCTTAGAATTAAGTATTATTTTATAATAATTTACTTCAATGTCTAATGAGCAACCAGGAATCCAACCCTCTGGTGGAATTATTTTGATTATTCCATAATTCTTTCCTTCGTTAGAAATACTAGTAATATATTTATAGGGGTCTTTGAATTCTTTCCAGGTTGGATAATAAGTTTTACCTTCGGGAAGATTATAAAGTCGTGTTGATTTTATATCATCATGATATTTATAATTTGTTCTAACAGTAGAATAATCAAATTTTATATTTTTATTATTTTTAGTTCTTAGAGATCTAGTTTCCATCTTTTATTTTATTGGTAATGGTAACGGTGGAACTACAAAGTGCATTTGGTGAGTGTAATGAATATCAAATTTGTAAAAAAAAAAATTTTTTTATATCAAAAAATTTCCATCTTAAAATTTATAAATTAGAAAAATTATTTTGATCAAAATTACAATACTAAGTCGCTACGTCATAACGTCGTTAAATATTGCACAAAACAAGCTTTAACATAAATGTGTGTGAATGTGACATTATATGAAACCTAATATTGTTATTCGTGGGTTCTAATTGATTTAATTAATTGAATATATAAAAAATTTTTTTTTGCATCACATATATGGGGGTGCTGTAATATTTAAGAGGGCAGAATCACTTTACAGCGATCCTTTCCTTAAAAACATGGTACTGATCGGTCATAGGTAGGTGAACTACCTCAACATCTGAGTCCTTTCTTTACAATTTAATTTATAACATATAGATTATAATTGGTGAAAATATTAGATCCTGTCTGCTTAATAAAAAAATGAGGAATTGTACACCGGATACCTTCATTAGAATCCCATTTTATTATTATTACACACAATAAATTTAATAGGTTCCAAAAATTTTATTAAAAATGTTGTCAAAAATAACAGCAACAACAGCAAAAATAACAAATTTATCATTATCTAAATTTATCTCAAACAATTATCACAACAGCTCAAGAAATTGTTATCACTAATCATCAGAATGAATTAGTAGCAGAAAGGTATTTATCATATCAGCATATCTCACTCATTATAATAATATGGGGCATGCT